TTGCCCATGTACAACTCTTTGTTTATTTAAATTATTTAGATACAACTTACCTAATTTTTGCCATTGTAATTTAATTATAACCAAGTAATTTTACAATGGGACTTTTCTGTTATATCGCATCTTTATGGTCAATTATTCATTGTAATGAACTCCTTAGATTTAAATAGCTTATAAAAATTACACACTGGTGACATTAATTTAAGACTTTAAATTTATATTGTTAAATTAGACCTTTGGATATATTCGGTAAAATAACTAAAAAAGCAAATTTTTAATTGTTCTTCGCATTAAAAAAAACTTAAATATATTAAAGAAACAGCGCTATGTACAATATAATATTTAAAAGTATGAATAAATCAAATGGCAATTTATAGACCAATATTATTATTATTTTTCTTTGCAATTGCATTTAATATCTATCTCTTGGATAATATTTCACAATATCATCAAAGTTTTGTTAATAATCATTGAATGATTATTAACTTATGCTTAATTGAATACCTATATTTCTGTTCATGTTTTGGATAACCAAGAGCAAGTGGATGCTATATCTATATATAAAGAGTTCTAAAGCTTAGGATGAGGTTGGTCATAGAAACATGGCCTCATAAGTTTTTAGTTTTTCTAGTGGGGTTATTATTTTTAATTACAAACTATATTTTCAATTGCTGATGATGTCTCCAAATATGCTCGTGTTCAAAGTGTGGAAGATTGTAAGAAAATTCAAAGAAATTTGAACAGTATCAATAACATTATATAATTGTAAAAAAATGTTAAGTTTAATAAGTAGTTCTTTAATTTCTTTCAAAATTATTATCTAGAGATAAAAGGTCCTTACAAAAACATACCACATATTCCTTAGACCAAAATAAGTCGATTTAAGTAAAATTACCTTCGTACAAAGTTGCTTCGTTTGGGCTCCAGAGGGCCTTGAAGTTACAATTTTTAAATCGTTTTTCCCATATAAATTTAAAACGGCATATGCGATTTTGCTGAAATTTGGTATATTGGTAGAGTTTTATGTGGCAAAAAAATGGTATTAAAATTTTGTCCAATAATAATACATAGGCGTAGAACTTGATTTTTTAAATAATTGCACCTTTAAAAATTCTACACCAATGGAAGAAAAGGAGTTTGAGTATGAAATTTAGATTTCGCAACTCATTTACTTTAAAAAAGGTACTCTTGATAAGACTTGATTACTCTCATGGTTTTTACGAAATTTGCATTTTAATAATTTTAGACCATAAACAATAATTATTAAAATACAAACTTTGTCACAACCATGAGAGTAAATCGAGTGTTATCAGGGGTACTTTTTTGTAGTAAATGAGTACCCAATCCAAATTTCATACTCAAATCCCTTTTTTGCCATTGGCGTAGAATTTTTAAAGGTGCAATTATTTAAAAAATCAAGTTCTACGCCTATGTATTATTATCGGACAAAATTTTATACGATGAAAAACATAAAAATGTACTTTTTTTATATCTTCTTCAATACCTCTAATCGAGACTTTTAACAAAAATACTCGATTCTTGCCATGTACGATTTTTTAAGGAATATTAATTATTTGCCTGCAATACGTATACAAAAACATTTATTGTTGATTTCCATAGTTTCATCTAAATAAAAATATTGTCAAGTTTTAACACCTAATCTCTTGTTAACGATTAAAAGTGTTCTATCTGACTCAATAATTAAAAAAACAAATGCGTGGTTTATTAATATGGCTGTACAATATACCAATGCAGAATATACCGATATGTTACTGACATTAGGATTTTGTGAAGGAAATGCTCGAGAGAATGTCAGGGTGTACTCTGAAAGGTTTCCAAATCATCGTGTACCTAGCCACCCAACTTTTGCTGCTGTTGAGAGACGTCTTCGGGAGACCGGTTCCTTTGCTCCCAACACTGTTAATAATGGAAGAGAACGTTTTGTAAGGATTCCTGAAGTTGAAGAAGACATTTTAGAACGTGTTGAAGAAGATCCAGAATTAAGCACCAGACGAATTGGAAGGGAACTAGGAGTAAGTAAAGATGTCGTTCATAAAGTGCTTAGAGAACAATTGCTATATCCATACCATAAGAAGCCAGTACAAGAATTATTAGTCCATGATCCTCAAATTCGTTTGGGTTTTTGTCGATTTGTTAATATGCAAAGAGAAAGAGATCCAAACTTTGTCAAGAAGGTTCTCTTTACCGATGAAGCGGGTTTTACAAGAAGAGGTATAACTAATACCCATAATGAACATGTTTATGCCGTTGAAAATCCGCATGCAATAAAGGTAAACCATTTTCAGCACGAATTCAAAATTAATGTGTGGGCTGGAATAATTGGTATTTTCATTATTGGTCCTGTCATACTTCCACGAAGATTAACTGGAGAAAATTATTTGGATTTTCTACAAAATACGTTGCCAGAATTGTTAGAAGATTTACCTCTCCAACTTCGGAGAGATATGTGGTTTATGCAAGATGGAGCTCCACCACATTTTTCTTTAAACGTTAGAAACCACTTGAATGAACAATATCCACACAAATGGATAGGCAGAGGTAATGACGCAACTGTAAACTGGCCACCACGTTCCCCAGACCTAACACCGATGGATTACTCTTTAGGCGGACATCTGATATCCACAGTTTACAGGGAACCTGTGGAAAATGAGGAACAACTCTGGCAACGTATTCAAGATGCAATAAACAAACTTAGAGGTGATGAAGAAGTTATGGAAAGGATACATTTTAATTTTCTTCGACGTATAATTCTTTGTATGCATGAAAATGGTAAACATTTTGAACAATTTTTGTAAAATCTCTATTTTGATTATGTTGTAAATAAATATTTTTGTGAAACTTATACACTCTAAAGTATTAAAACAGAAATTTAGCGAAAACCATGAGAGTAATCGAGTCTTATCAAGAGTACCTTTTCTTAAAGTAAATGAGTTGCGGAAAGTTCTACGCCTATGTATTATTATCGGACAAAATTTTAATACCATTTTTTTTGCCACATAAAACTCTATCAATATACCAAATTTCAGAAAAATCGCATATGCCGTTTTAAATTTATATGGGAAAAACGATTTAAAAATTGTAACTTCAAGGCCCTCTGGAGCCCAAACGAAGCAACTTTGTACTAAGGTAATTTTACTTAAATCGACTTATTTTGGTCTAAGGAATATGTGGTATGTTTTTGTAAAGACGTTTCACAGACACCCTGTTTAATATTCATAAATAACAATATATGAATTATATTTAATTTAAACCTAACTTTTTTAATCATATGGACCTAAAATATTAGAACTTTTAAAAAATGTATAGTTCTTATTATTTTGTATTAGACATAGCCGTGCTTTTACAGCGAACATGTGGCAACTATGATATCCCCGCTAACACTCTCTAGCTTTGTGCCTCATTCTAGTCGACGACGACTGTTGCCCTGTTGCCATTTTATTAACTTATATACTAGTCGTATGCCTAACACGAAAAAATAGACATCGTATAATAATAAATTGTAAAAGCTTTACTAATGTAGTACCTACACCTATAAAATTTTGCTTCAATTAACTTGTTTGTTCCAGTTGTCATAATGGAATATTGTTTGGAACACTTAAATGGTATTGTTAGGATATTAAAAAATCTCAAAGGAGAGTTATGAAATATATATAATATAGTTTTTAAAATGGATCTTATTTATCGTAAAAGAGCTTTAAATAACATATATCATCTAATGTTACTATACAAAATGAGTTTTTATATATTGGGGAAATGAATATTATGAATGTCACATATCTAATTATTAATTTAATTTATGAACGGAACATTGTTGGCAACAAAATTATTATTAATATTACCACCCCATTTATTAATTGTTATTAAACAACATGAGTGTAAACACAATATATAGACATATGATAAATATATCAAATTAGGTACTTGCATTTTTTCACCTCTCTTGGTGAGATTTTATTTATTCATTTAAAGAACTATTTGAATGCATTAGTTTAGAAATTTAGTACACTTTTGCACATGTACTGCCAAAGAAATGGTATAAAATTCGTAATTTTAAAAAACCGTTGCAACAATTTATTCTACTTCCTTTGGTCAGGTTTTTCTTTTAAGTATTAGTTTCGTACTAAATAGGTACCTATTAGTTTGTATGTTTTATACTTTATTTTATTTCATGTAATAACTGATAAGAAATATACTTTTATAGTAAATAAATTGATTGAGGCAATACGTAATTAAAATAAGTTTCTCTAAAGATTAAATTGTTAAAACAATTTTTCACATCTGTTGTTGAACAATTTGTTTCATTTAATTCTGGCTTATTGAGTAAATTATTTCATATAAATATTTAATACTTGTTAATTGTAATATTCTTTTTTAAATGGGTATATAATGTGTTTGCATATAATATTACTTGTTCAGTTAATAAAAACCGAAATATTTTGTCTTTTATTCAAAAGAAGTGTGTAAATTATTCAAAATATAATAACCTACCCCAAAAAAAAAGATTATTAAAACAAGTTAGTCATGTACACATTTTCTATATGTTCATAGGTAATTGCTGTATATCCCTGGGTTTTTTATATTTGAGCAATACTCCTTCTCTACTCGGGCAGTATTTTTTGCTTTTCACAAGATTATATTTAATAAAAAAATCAAGTAATTGTTTCGGGTCTATTGCTGTGCCCTTTTTCAACATTCCCAAAGCATTTTTTTACTTTTTGCCGATTGGATCTCCACTAGTTTTTTTTATAAAACTTTTTAAATAACTTCTATATATTTATCTTTTGCAACGATTTTACCTATCTGCCTCATAATCTCATCAAACAGAATCCAAAATGATTTAATTAAATGCACTGCCGACGTTGTGATATTAGGTCTAGGTATAAAAATAATAAGTGAGAATAATTTTAATAAATTTAAAAATTACAGATAAATCCGATAATGATTCACGGATTCAATTATTTCGATAAAAAATATTTTCACAGCTTCTGTTTTGATTCTGCTACAATTATGATGCCTCAAATTCAGCGTTTTTTCTGAGAAACCAATCTAGATATAGTCCTGTAGACTGGTATGACCGACAGACCAATGAGAGAGTACTTGAGTGTATAGTGTAGCAAAGTCAATCTAAAAAACAATAGAAATATTCTAGTATTCAACTAAGCAGGAAAACTAACAAGAGGAATTTAAAAAAGATATCCTCACCTCTTATATCTTTGCTTGTGAATTTTCGCTTTGGTCATGTCTTCTTTTAAAATAAATTTTTTCATTCCAGTAACCATATTTTTGAAATAGAGGTTAAGATCTATAGAATTTATGTCGAAATTAAATAGTTCCCTATCTTTTTCATCGAGATTTTCCCACATTTTCTTCACACTTTCGTTGCTAATATCCCATTCATTCATTAAAAAATGGCTGAGGATGTCAGAAGTCTTTTCAATTTTTACGTAAATGCTTTTCATCCTAAAACAAACAAAATATTGAATCAAATATAAGTATATTTGCTTAGAATCTTTAAAATCTTACCTAGCTTTTCTTGCAGACATTATTAACAACGAATCTATCAAGTAAGCCGGCACAGTGTGTAGTAGAAACTTTAAAATTATGTAACAAAACTTGCTCTCTATTAAAAACAGCATTTGGTGCCACATGGCCTTCTTAAACGGTGGATAATCAGATCTATTAATGCAGTCTATATATTGTCTCACAGATAACAGCAATTTTGTATTTTTGGCAGAGAAGTTCATCACTGGAGGATTGTAAGTATCTTGTGACGTTTTCCTGAAAATACGAAAAACACATAAGTGATTGAATGTCACTGAAAGTTTGTTAAGAGAAAGTGATGGAATTTTGCTATGAATACACACCTTAAACATCGTATCTACCAGATTTGAAATCATGCTTACTTTATATTTGTAGAACTCAAAAATTTGTTTGGATTTAAAATCTAATAAGAATAAGTAATAGAAGTCGATAAAAACAATTAACATTTAAAAATGTATTTTATATGAAAATAGAAAAAAATGATCTGGAAGGTTTAATTAACACTGCCTAAATAGTAGATATAGTCTATACGAAGTCAATTCGAACAGCTAAATAAAAGACTTTTATAACGGGTCTGATAAATTTATTAGTTAATATCATATACAATACCCCATATAAAATTGATGATTAGACCTCGTATGAATTTCTTATCTCTCACTTCTGTATGTCGGAGTATCTAGTCGGACAAATAATATTGCATGGTCACACAAGCAAAATATGAATGTCAAAAAGTGTCGGGTCCACTGTAAATACCATTGTTTGCATTTTCGGGTAAATTGTCAGTGCTGTGGTTTAAGTTAGGATTTATAAAATTAGTTTATTCTGTGTTTTTGGGAATTTTAGTCAGTAGCTTGCATTTGTGTCATGTTTTTCTAAATTGTTTTCATGTGGTTATTTTTAATGAAGATGGCTTTGTGGAAACCATCAGAATTTTTAAATAAAACCTTTCATCCTCAAACCCAAAGAATTATTTTAAATATTTACACACGCTGAAAGGTGAAATGCGTGGGGCCTCACAAAACGAAATTTTGAAAAGTATTGGTGAGTTGACTGAACTTCCTCGTACTACAATTTATGCTGTTGTTAGAGCAGCATATATCATTGATCATTTCGTAAAACGAAAAAAAGATAATTAGAAGCTTAAGAAGGTTGATAATGTCGACCAAGAAGTTACACGCCAAGTTGTGCACAAGTTTTACAAGGAAAACAAGGTTCTAACTTTAGAAATGGTTCGTAACAAATTACTTACGGGATTATCCAGATTATGAATATAAATCTCTAGACACATTGCGCAATATTTTGCTAGATTGTGGCTTCAAGTACAAAAAATTTAATAAAAGAATGATGATAATGGAGTCAAATCAAAAGTTAAGCTATACCGCCAATCAAAAAGGAAAATAATGTACCTTAAAGAAATTTGGTTCGATACACATGATCTTGTTGAATATGGTTGAGTGGATGAAGGTAATAAGTGCTCTCTAAAGGGGCCTTGTTCTCGTGGTAATCGAGTTATCATTCTACACACAGGCAGTAATAATGCTCTTTTATTGTCTGCTAAAAATGTCTGCTGACTACCATCAAAATATGACCGTCAGTCTCTTTAAAAAGTGATTTAATAAACAACTGCTACCAAACCTTTTCCCAAATTCTGTTATTATGGACAATGCGTCTTATCATTCCCATCTACATAACAAAATTCCCAATAGCAGCACAAAGAAAGAAGACATTCTTAAATTCACGGACAAAATGGCGCAGGACAAAATAACGCAGACAAAATAGCGCAAGGACAAAATAGCGCAGGACAAAATAGTTTAAGGACAAAAAAGCGCAGGACAAAATAGCGTAAGACAAAATAGCGCATGACAAAATAGCGCACGACAAATTAGCGCAAGGACAAAATAGCGTAAATGCAAAATAGCGCAAGGACAAAATAGATCAAGGACAAAATAAGGCAATGAGAAAAAGAGTGCAGAACTATAATTGCTACTACTGTTTTAATTTAAAATATTCGCATAAAATTCTAAAGTATAAGTTAGTAATAAGTCAGATTTTTTTATAATTTTATTATCTTTTTTATATCAAATGAAATCGTTCGTCAATTGAAATATTAATTCTAAAAAGTGCTCCTCAAAGTTACGAGTATGATTTGATAGAGAATTTTCTAAACACCCCCTCTTTGGAAACTAGGAGGAAACAGAGAGACCTGACATTACTTTTCAAAATTATCAATGGTAGATGCAGCTTTACTGAACTTCTAACAAAAATAAATCTTTATATTCCAAAGCGCTCAACTCGACAGCAACAAACATTTTATGTACCTTTTTATCGTTTAAACCATACTATTAGCAGCTGTATTCCAAGAATGTTAAGATTAGCCAACACTCATAACGATCTTGAGATATTTAACACCCCCTTTCATAAATTTATAAAGCAATTACTTAGTACTGAGCTTTAATTTTAAATCTTTAATTTTAATGTTTATTGTAAATATTTTATGCAACCTTATTGTCTTTTGTCTTTTAAATCTTTTAAAATCTTAACCTATTTTATGAATTATACCACGATTGTATTTCAGCACCATATATATTTCACTACATTTTAATTATAATTTTAAAATTGTAATTTATTTCTCCAATGGGCTTGCCCGTAAATAAATAAATAAATAAAATAAAAATAAAATATCAGTAATAATTTAAATGAACATTTTACAAGATGTCTAATAACAAAATTATAACGGTACGCAAGCATACATTTAGTCAAACCACAAAAAGTCAGACTAAATACTAAGTAAAGGAGCAATATTTCTTAGATAATTTAGCGATGATACAGTGCCCCAAGTCTTTATCAGTGCTTTTATTTTTTGGTTTGGTGTAATATATTTCTTTTTAGAAGCTTCTGGTCTCCGCTCGCCGTTATTGAAACACTGTATGATAATTTCGTAATATTCAATTTATCTCCTAATTTGACTAACTAATTTAAACATTGATGGAGGATGAGAGTCTAAAGTTGTTTAAAATGCAGTATGCCATGCTTCTATTGAATTACTCGTTCTCGGCAGATCCATTAAAACTCGATCCCACATATTCCAGTGGGTAATTGGAAAAAGAGGAACTTTGTGCGTTCCTAACTTAACCCGACCAATATAATAATTTTCCCAATAAGTCAAGAGAGGTCGTAAATCTGGTACACATATTTCAGAGAGAACGTCAAAATTTGAAGCCACTTCTCCTGGAGGAACAAAACATAATGCTAATTTAATTTTAGCACTAATACGAAATTATTCGTTTTGTCTAAAGTTTTCGTTAAATGCAATTTTTGAATTTTTCTTTACAAGCTTTGTCACAAATGAAACAAACAACCAATAATCTTCAAATCTCTTTGACTGTTCAACAAAATCTTACTTAAGTGTCTTCGGATTTATTGAATAAAAAAGCAAAAATTAAAGGAATTGCTCTGTTGTCGATCAACGCATATAAAGTAAATACTGGGGTAAAAAATTCTGTAAACCAATTTTCGTATTTTTGTAAAAGATTTACATTTTCCTTTATCCCAAAAATAATCATTCTCTTAGGGTCTTTTACACCATAATCCCATAGTAGCATATGTTTTCCTCTAGTTGTAAGTTGTAGATCTTTTGGAATTATTAACTCACGTAACGATCTGTAAATAGTGTAAGGTAATATGCATTTATTCCTTTGGCAATGAATATTTCTTTGTAGAGACGTATATTTCGTCAATGAAAATGATGCAAGCAGACATTTCTTGAGTTGCTTCTTGAATTACTTCTCTAGCCTTAACTCGTGTTTGTTTTGCCACAGAGGATGTAAGTACAGAGAACAAACTCGGTGTCGGCACGATTGATCTCGCTAAGTCACCGGCGGCCATGTTCTAATTATAGAAGTCAGGCCCGCATTTTGATAATTATGTTACCAATGGGAAGATCCGTACTCAAGAAATTAATTTTGGTAAGGATGTGGTGTTTTGAATTTAATTTAATTTTTTAATTTGAATTATAACTAAAATCAGGTACGAGTTGTTTTACAGAGTAATGAAAAGATATATCAGGATTTAAAAAATAATTTCTGGAAATAAAGTCGCGTGTATAGTAAAATCCATTCTTGTGATAGTTTAAAATTGTATAAACAAATTTTTAGAACTATAAGTAGTATAAAAATATTTTGCCCAGCTCCAGTTATTCAGGACAAAAATGACCTGAACTTAGATTTACATCGGTCATAAATATATTCTGGTGTAGATTTTTAATAAATGATATTTTATATACTAAGCTGTCCATGTAAGTATACAAATATTTGGAATACATAAAGAAACACCATGAAATATAATAGTATATTACGTAACAAGAGTTGTAAGTAACCCATTACGCACGAAGTGAAAAAGTTTACGCACCAAGCAGCGCAGTGGCGAGTGTGTAAATTTTACAAGTACGTAATGGGCTTACAAACTCGTGTAACGTACTATACTTTTTCTACGCCCACTTATTTTCTTCTATTAAATAAAGGACATATGCTTGTGTCGCTAATCCATAAATTTTCGATGGGTAATTTCGTACCATTTTTGGATTTTAGCGGTAGCAAATTATGTATGACAGCTTGAGCTATTTCTAAAATCTCTGGTGGAGTGCTCATAATCTCATCACTTTCACTACTAACAGATATATTCATAGGTAGAGTTAAGAAAATTTTCAAATACAATATTTAGTATAATGTATAATGTGTTGCCGACATTTAGGGGCATATTTTTTTTAATCCAAAATGTATCTCGCTATTGCTAAAAGTTTTTTTGTTTTTAAATTGACTAAATTTATGTAAATGAACCAAATAAAGTCTTACGTAGATAAAAATTTGATTGCAATTTAATTAAACTAAGAAATTTAAGTTTTTTTATCAAAAAGCACGTGTATGTTATGAGATCTCATTACGTGCATGTTATTGTTAAATGTCATTTACAAGGAATGTTGAAAGTACGATTTTTAACGTTTACTGACATGGGCGTAGAAAAATTTTTTTTATTAATTTTTCCATATTAACAATTTAGCATTATTATCCACGTCTTTCAAATTTCTATTAAAATTTTTTATAGAAAAATATATTCTAACCCTAAAATATAATTTGGAAAAATTAGGAAAAGTTGATTTAGAATTAAAATCAATTGAATCTACTTATAACTTTCTAAATTACCTTGGCCTCTTTATATCTACTCTAATATCCAGTACTTAATTTTGATAATTAGTCTCCAAATAAAGGATAATTTTAAATTCAGTAATGAGTTTTCCAAGAAAATAATAATATGGACAAAACCCATTTAGTAATAAATAGCAACAGTAGGTATAAACTTTCTATGGGCAAAATAAAATAATTATATTTTGAGAATAAAGCTAGATTTGTGTACAGTTTCATATAATTCTAGTAGGTATTTTAGGAATAAATAGGTCAACTGACCAACTGTAGAACACTAGAATAAAATAAAAAATGACAGGTACATAAATCCACCATAAACAATAATAAGTTGATAAGTACATTTTATTCACCTCTTAATAAATAAATTACTCATTGTTTACAAATAAGTATTTAATATATTTTCCCCATATATAAGTTAGAGTCATTTTATTATCCTTATTTCAGTGGATAAAGTGAGCTATTATCCACAAGAGGAATAAAGCTACTTGAGAATAATCTATATAACTCTTGATATAGTACATAAATATAAATACTCTTACAATAAGTAACTACCTAGTAAAGTATTTTATTATATTTTTAATTCACCGTTCTAAACGATATAATTTTTCTATTAAGAGCTATTGCTTCTATAAAGAGGTCGAACTCCTGAAAATTGTAAATTTTGAAACCATTTGCACAATTCTCAATATATGTGCATGAATATTTTTTGGTAGAAATATTGTTTATTTTACCATGTTTCTGCACTATAGTCCCCAAAAAAAGTTTGCAGAATGAAGAAAAAAAATGACAGTAACTGTAAAAATTTATTTTTATTTTAAATATTTCAATCTTTTACCCATTTTAAGGGTGTTATAGAGAAATATGTTCTTTACAATTTTTATAGAAAATATTTTAGATTTTTTAAACAGGGAGCTTTAAATGAAAAATTACAAATGAACGTATTATGCCTTAAAAAATAATTTTTTTTATACAAATTCTAGAGCTAACAATTGGCTACAAATTAAAAAAAAAATAAAAATCGGATATATTATGGCAAAATGGTATTATTTAAAATAAAAATTATTTGTTGTTTTCCTTCATTCTGCTATTTTTTCATGATTGATTTTGTAGTGAAGAAACATAGTAAAATGCACTATATTTCTACAAAAAAATAAACGTGGACCTACATTAAAAATTCTACAGATAGTATCAAAATTTATAATATCCGATCATTTTACATTTTAACCGAAGCAATCTTAAGACTTTTTTCTCAACTTACCTTCTTTCGTCCTTAAGAAAACCGAAAAAGCTCAACTTGCAGTTGTACGTCTTGTTTGGACAATTTCTTGCTGCACAAACCAATCCACATTTAATATTGCTCATTGTTTATCGAGTTACAACAAATAAACACAATATAAAAATAACAAACTTTACAAGTACACAAGTCAAGAGAACACACGCTGCCACTGCCAGTTCGCACATAAAAATGAATAGTGATAAGCTCTACTACATGTAACGGAGCTGAGTTATAATTAGAACATGGCCGATTGCGATGCGCGCCGTAGTTGCGCGTACTTACCCCTCCACACCAAGTTTACCCTCTGTACTTACATCCTCTGTGGTTTTGCTTTCTCTTAATTTTATTTACTACAGTACGCGTATTATTATCCTTTACATCAGGTGCATGGTTATGCATAGTTATAACTTTTTAAATCTCTTTAAATATTGTCTTCATACGTCCTTTACACCATACCTTAATGCATCTCCATTTCGATTCATCAACATTGACTCTATCTAACCTGTAGCGATAGCTTTTGAACATTAAAATATCTCTGCCTTTTTATGATTGAACGAATTCCATGTTTTTTTTTTTATTGAAATTAACGTGTTTTGGCATCAGGGGCCATTAAATGTATGCTAATTTGAAAAAAAGTAAAGTACCTATAACCAAAGAAACCAAATTATCCAATAATAGAAGATGAATCATAGTTCACCATAGATTAGGTAACAGTTAGATGGGTCGATTGGACGGAGCTATAGTCCAAACATTCAATAAATAGGCGTCACCGAAATAGTATTCGTTACGCATTATTTCAAGGAATTACATTAATTAAAAAACATTTCTTATTCGTTTGCGTTATTATTCCCTTGTTAGTATTCTAATTAAAATACAAAAACATAACCAATTTACCTAACCTGCGCGGCCTGGTGCCATAGCATGTTGCACAGACACACGTTAGGTAAATCAATTAATTTTTTTTTATTTTAAATAGAATACTAGAATATTTTGTCCTTGCGCTATTTTGTCCTGCACTATTTTGTCCTTGCGCTATTTTGTCCTTCGCTATTTTGTCCTTGCGCTATTTTGTCCTTGCGCTATTTTGCCCTGCGCTGTTTTGTCCTTGCGCTATTATTTCCTTGCGATATTTTGTACTGCACTATTTTGCCCTGCGCTATTTTTTCCTTGCGCTATTTTGTTTGTGCTATTTAGTCCTGCGCCATTTTGTTCTGTGGTGTTTTGTCATGGAGTCGCGATAAATATGGCATATCTGATCGATTAGCTGCTGCGATTGCTAGTGCAGTATTAAAAGATGTAGGAATAATTACCACAGAAAATCCGTCAAAAATAAAGTAAGAAGAAATCTAGAAATACCTTAAGAAAGGAGTTTAAAAGTGATAACTGAAGAATAAGAAGTCTGTATTTTGATGGAAGAAAGGACAAAACTTGCTGCTGCAAAGGAAGGAAAACGGTAGATTATACAAGAAAACCGTTGTCGAAGAACACATATCGCTGATCGAGGAACCTGAATCTATCTATATTGGCCACGTAACTCCAACTACGGGGACGGCAAAGTTAATTGAAAAAGCAATATTGGACTTTTCTGATAAAAAAAAATTTGGAACTAGATGATTTGGCGGCTGTAGGTTGCGATGGTATTGTTGTTAATATCGGTAATAAAAATGGTAATAGGTACATTGAGACTGAATTAAAATGTCCTTAGCTAAGGTATATTTGTTAGATAGCAGCACAGTGGGACCTCGTCAATATTCTGGTGAAATCAGAAAGTCTTTGAAAAAATATAAATGTGTTAAAATTGTAAATTTTACCCCAATAAAATGTAAGTTGCCAAATATAATTTTAATGTCTAGTGATTTAAATTCTGATCAATCATATTTATATGACATTTGCAATGCAATCATAAGCGAATTTTTTTTATCATATTTAGCACAATGTAATCCTGGGAAATTAGAGTACTTTAGATGTTTCACAATAGCAAATCGTGTTCTTCGACTCTATGCTGGTACGGAAAAGCCAACATCAACCCTTACGGATATGGCCGAATTCATAATTGAAGTGTATTCTCCAATGTGGTTTGATATAAAACTAAATTTCAGTTATACTAGTATTAGTTTGCATGTTTTTAAAACGATTGAACTGTCACGGTATTTAAGAGATAATTTCAAAAGTATTATGCATACGGTAATCCAAAGAAATGCGTATTTTCTACACCCCGAAAACATTCTTTTGTGTATGTATGCTAACAGACACTCGTGAATGAGTTCGGGAACTATCTTTACGAAGAATCATAAAAGCTAGAGAAACCAGTCGAGAAACAGTTAAAATAATATACTTTGTGGTACCAAAAATTAATTTCAGTGCTACAGACTACTTTGAGTTAGCTTATTTGATTGAGTTCGATGTGACACCGCCACCTGTTTTAAAGGATTTTACTGATTATAATCGTAGGGACTTTATAACCAAACCGAAATTCCAGACTTTGATTTTCCTAAGTTCCCTTGCCATATTCAATCCGTGGAGAGATCCGTAAAATTAGTTACAGAGTCATCTTCTTTAGCAATTGGTCCAGAATTAAAAGACGGCTTTGTTCGCTTAAGAATAAAATTATACCAACATTTGAAAGTAAACGACAGTTTAAAATTCAGTAAATGTTTTTTTTATTACTGTGTTTTTTGTACTTGATGTGTTTTTATATTTGATTTGTAAGGTTTCATGTTTGATTTGTTAGCTTCTTATGTTTCATTTCTTTTTAAACATTGGTTAAAAGGGGTAGTAGAAGGCTGAAGGTGTTATTTAAAGATATTACAAATAGAGTGTAAATACAAATACTAAAATGTAATTTTCAGTAGGTATTGTAAGTCAAAATTTCAAACTTATACTTTTCACCCCTAAAGGGGGCAGTAGAGGGCTGAAAATGTGGTTTTACAAATTTTTTAAAAAATTACGAAAAGTAAGCACAGCAAAATGCAAGTTTTGATAGGTATTGTAAACATAATTTTTATATATTTTTTGAAATATGCCTATTTATGCCCAGCCTAATAAACACACAGGCAAAAGAAAAGTTAAAGGATTTTAATTTCTCACCATTTATTGTTCAAATCCCAGGCGAAGCAAAGTATAGCATTTATACACATGTCTCCTGGCACTGTATGAGATTTTAAATTACCATTCGCTCTGATAATGCGTAATATACCACAGTATGAAGAAAGTACGATACCCAGAGGTCCATATAAATTATCTGACCAACCTGCTATGGGTTCCGATACAGTAGAAGTGACTAGAATTAAATAAAAAACGTTGTATAATATCTTATGAAACAAATTTTAATTCGGGCCAAATATCTTACCAATTGCAGGTCGAAAAAGTCCAACAGGTAAATTTTTGGCTTTTGTCAGTAGCAGATTTTCTGCGACAGCTTTGGTAAAAACATAACAATTAGGCCATTTTCCTATTAGTCTAAAAACAAAGATACAAATACAGAAAATGAAGTAATATGTAGAAAAAAAAATTTACTCCTAACTGCTATTAATACAGAATTTTTTGTGAAATACTTTTATGATAAGAAATAAATATAAATGTATTCAACTATTAAGACATTTACATTTAGGTGATAATAATAATAATAGTTACTTGAAAATAATTAACTGTGGAAAATAAGAAGTATTTTTCAATAAACAGAGTTATGTGGCTAAACTATAAGGTGCTATTTTACTTAATTTTGAGAAAAAAAAGTTAATAAAAACTGCTTTATTTTAAATAAGTGTTGAAAAACCAAAGGTTATTCCTAAATAACTTGAAGGTGTATTACATAAAAAGGAATTTTATATAAAAAATAGTTATTTTCCTAACAAGTGCGGAAAGTGTTACTTTCCCGCACGCGACTGCAGTTGGCCCGAACGACGCGAAGTAGAGTTCGGGCAAGCGGTCAAGTGCGGGAAAGACACTTTACGCATGAGTTAGGCACATTATTTTTTCTACGACCGTATATACAAAAAAGTAGGAAAAATTATTTTTGGAAAATTATTTTATTTCAACATATACAATTCTTTAAATAAAGACAACTAATTATTATGGATATTAATGTTAAATACACAATTTGTAGCATTTTGTAAATTATGTAAAATTGCCGGTACAGAGGAATTAGTTGGTGTTAATTGGCTGTTAATAGTCGTAACGCTCGTAGATTGAAAAGATGACGTGGACGGGAGTGACATCGGTTGCAGGTCGCATGAAGGTGAAAATGACGGTGGCAGCAAAGGTTGCAAGTCATTTCTATTTGAAAGAATTTTATTCGAAATGTTTTTCTTCTGTGTTTCGGAATCCTCCAAATAGCCTTCAGGGATAGTAGTGGACTTCCAGCCACCGAGACGTTTTATATTGGTTATCGCTTCACCTGAGTCTGCTAGGAATGTTGCTGAAGAACGTCTAAAACTGTGTCCTGTATATCGTTCAGGATTAGGTAGACGCAAATATGCAGCAATCTCTGTTGGCATCTTACCAAAGGTGTTTATGCCAACGCACTGAATTGAGCATTTTCCCTTCTTATAATTAATAAAAAAGCGGCGATGCGGAGTGGTAGGTGGTCGTTAACCTGCGTACTTTCTGTACAGCTTCAGAAAGTTTCCATTATTTATTTCTTCACATAAAACAAATGATCTTGAAGAATGATTTTTGGAATCGAAAATTTTCACAACTATCAGATTGCCTTTATCTTGTTTATCATCGAGAGTGATATTTACAAGCTCCGCTCTGCGGAGAGCACCAGCTAAAGCAAAAATGGTACTCACTTTAATCATAAGGTATACGTCATCAGGGGCTAACATAAACCTGGATATATCTTCTTTGGTAAAAACCTGCGCCTTCTGTGCTCGAAAACCAACATTTTTTTGTTTTAGAAATGACGATAACTTATGGAACTGGCTTATATCCAAATTTTGTTTTATTTTTACTAAACTTTTCACCATCGAATAGCGAGACCATAAAGTATTAGATTTCAAAAACTTGGCAGATTTGGCAGGTAACACCTCCAAATGTGCTTCATTTGCAGCTTTTAAAATGGCTTCGGGCAGCTCTTCATGCGATGAATCCATTATTTCTTTAATTTATTTTAATTCAGTTGACGCTTCAACAAACAACTTTGACGTTTTTGTAACAATAACACGCCTTGGTTACCATATAGCAACCATATCAAGCCATACATGTCACCATGGTATAAAAAATAAAAGGTAGGATATCAACAGTGTCAAAAATAGGACGGCCACGCGCATGACGTCACGCGTAGAGTTTGTATAGGCGCGAATTTAAAAATACAGACGAAGTATGAGGAAAATATATGCTATTTATAGAAATTTAATGAATATTAAAGAATAATAGTTTAGAAATTACATGAAATATCTAAGTATATTATTATGGAATAGTTAAGGAAAGAACTATGAAGGAAAATTAATGCAAATACATACATAAAAGATATGTCTATTTAAATAACAGTTTTTTCCTGTTTTTTTTTTTAGTTTATTCGACTTCTAAAGAATAGTTTCTATAACTCGGAACTACTCAACTGGGGGACCTCATCTGGAGACGACGGAAATTTTTACATAATTAGGATTCGCAACTAGTGTGAATCATTTATCTGCATTATTGAATATACTTAACTACTTATTTTATGTAAAAGATGGGATTTATGCATAAGTAAGATAACAAAAATTTATTTTTAATAAATATTTTTCATACAATATAATGCATAACATAAAAATAATGTACCAAATACAAATAACTGCTACATGGTGGGTGTATATACAAAATTAAAATAGAATTTTTCCTGGACGAAGTCACTAACAGTTTTTTGGAACAACATTTAGAAATTTTCTTTTTTTGCAACATATACAATTTCACCTTCGCTGTATATTACATTTTCAGCCTTTAAAAGGGTACAGTCCCCAGTTAAGAAGTCCCGAGTTGCGAATGAACCAACGTGAAGTTCTGCATTGAGGTCCCTTTTATAATTGAAAGGTTAAAAGTGCTTGGAATAGACGACATGATATTTTTCTGTTTTAAATTTATCTGCATGGTCACAGTCCACTAAATGGGCTACTCCTGGTAAAATTTTCGAGGGAAGGTAGCATTGCCTATAACAATTCCCTTTTAATATATATTTTTTTTTTTAATAAAAGGCTCATTGATTTAAATAGTGCGAAAAGGGGACATGGCCCCCTGAGACCCCCACTGGAGCCGCGCTTGGTTCACTGCTCACTTCTGACTAACCTCTTACCGTCGATGAAAGCGAAAAACAAGGTCTCTTTTAGGTCCTTTGCTTTGATTATTACTGTTACATCCGTAAAGAGCGTAACCTTTTTAATGTTTTTCACCAATACCACTCACAAAGAACAAAGTTTACAACATAATATAATACAAATATCCACTTAAAATGTTATATAGCACAAAAAACGACTTACAAACCACTGAAACGTGCGTCCGCCATATGATATTTGCTTCGTGCCAACTCTACTAACTCTACACATGACGTCACCGCCACCATGACACCATGCGCGATATCCCCCCCTGACATGTCACAGCCTAGTCTGACTTTTAAAAATATACAGAAGGTATATAAAAATATCTCTATTATTCAAGTTTTCCAAAAAATTAAAATTATAACAAATAGCAAGAAAAAAAGTAAATTTTATTAAATGGAATAGTTGAAAAATACTAAATTACCTATTGTAACAATAGTTATAACATCCGAGGTAAAAAAACTATACAATAGGTAAGGCTAAATATTCATAATTTTACATTCCCGCACTAGTGCGGGAAACTGATTTTTTCCCGCACTAGTGCGGAAAAGTGACACTTTCAAAACTAAAATGCGTGCGGGAAAGTGGGTAAAAATACACGGTCGTGGAAAAAAGTTTTTTTTTTTTAATATATCAGTGGTGTGCGCAAGGATATTTAATTAGATAATAAGTACATATTAATTAATTCCAAGAATGTTTTGTCCTATAATTGAACCATCTTACAGTTTGACAACATACTTGGTCAATCACTTTTTTTTAGCTTTTTTTCAAGAATTTGGCTCACGTAAGATTATATCCTTGAAGATAGAATTAATTGTACGTTGATAAAAGTTTAAAAATATATGAGTATAGAAAGTAAAAATTGATATTATGTCTATGGGTGTATTAATTATGAAATCTTCCTTACTCATTCGTAATACTGCTCAAAATGTTTGGACTCAATTCCTCGCTCATCCTGATTAACAGCTCAGGATCTACAGGGGGAGGGTAAAATTTTTCTTTAATAACTTTCTCATAACAATTTGAATACGATGTGGAGATTTGTACAAAGGCGTCGAAATTTTGGGTCCCTTTGATCAGTTCTAGGATCTCTAGAGTGCCTCTGACATTGGTTATGATTGCTTCGCTTAGTTTAGAGTCCATGTTTAAGAAGGCACCGCAGTGGAATACTATATTGATCTGAAAATTTAGAAACTTATAATAAAATATGGACTATATTTTTGACAAATTTAAAAAAAATTAAAAATTTTAGATAAGATTAGACAAATTTAGACACCGTAAGGCAAATATAGACAAATTTAAACAAATTTTGACAAATTTAGACAATTTAAACAAATTTAGACACATTTAGACAAATTTAGACAAATTTAGACAAATTTAGACAAATTTAGACAAATTTAGACAAATTTAGACAAATTTAGACAAATTTAGACAAATTTAGACCAATTTAGACAAATTTAGACAAATTTAGACAAATTTAGACAAATTTAGACAAATTTAGACAAATTTAGACAAATTTAGACAAATTTAGACAAATTTAGACAAATTTAGACAAATTTAGACAAATTTAGACAAATTTAGACAAATTTAGACAAATTTAGACAAATTTAGATAAATTTAGATAAATTTAGACAAATTTAGACAAATTTAGACAAATTTAGACAAATTTAGACAAATTTAGACAAATTTAGACAAATTTAGACAAATTTAGACAAATTTAGACAAATTTAGACAAATTTAGACAAATTTAGACAAATTTAGACAAATTTAGACAAATTTAGACAAATTTAGATAAATGTAAAAAAATTTATAAAAATCTAGAGATATTTTGAGAATAATTAGAAACACTTACTTTATTTCTGATAAGTTCTTTGTCTTCTTCACTAAGTCCGAGCTCTTTTTTTGCTAAATTTCCTTCCAAAGCGTGAATTTTTTTGTAGTATTTCCACTTGTTTTCGCGTATCTTGGCCAATATCTACAAAACAGCAACGGTAATTAAACTACATGTAGCATCCTGCAACATTAGCGTGTTGAAAAGTCCTACTGCAGTCTGCTATGTCATCAGCCTGGTAACCTAGACTTATTTATAAAATAACATAAGCATACTTCCAACTAATAAAAATCATATCTGAGTGAAAGAACTTTTTAAAAAAGGTTAATCAATATAAATCAGGGGTGCCACGGGGAAGTGTTCTAGGGCATCTCCTATATGTATGTCTTTTGCATATTAGACCTACCAATGACACAAAACGCTACTACTGGTAGGGTAGTGGCAGAACCTTAAAATGGAGTATGTAACATAATTTAGGCGTCTTATATCAATTTTAGCAACTTCCACTTCTCTAAATTTTTAAATATATTAATATTTAAAATATTAAGACGTAACATACAATTACTGTGTTGGCTTTTAAGTATGTAAATAAATTATTTTATGTAAATTCCAGACAATATCGCCGTACGATTTTGAATAATATTTCAAATTGGCTATATATATTGGAGTTTGCTGTATTTGTAATTTAAGGTTGGAGTTTGCTATATATGATTTGTTCATGAAAGGAGATTGCTGTGTATGATAGTAAACTGGGGTGTAAAAACATCCAGGTCTGTATTGAATACAAACACACTTCTGCTTAATAATTATTACTGTGATTAACAGAAACTAAAAACAAATATTTTTTCATATTGTCATTTAACAATTTGCTGGGGGAAAAGTCCTATAGTCATGTTCAAAACGCCGCAGGCTATAGACGAAAGCCATAGACATCAAAAATCAGAAATCCAGAGCGGGGGGTAGACGCCCCCGCTTGCCCTCTTGTGGCGGCGCCTATGAATGTGTCCCTTAAAGTTGACAACAAATATGAAACTTTTTTATTATTAGTTTATTACTGTCAACAAGAAACTAAAATAACAACGTTGCCAGTAAACGACCGCCTGGCTGTGTGGGGATAACTCTCGAGTAAGTATGCACCGTTGACCATCTGTGTGTATTATGCTATCTGTCTGCGCTCTAGGCTGTATAATGTCATTGTATAAAGAACTATAGTAGGATAATCGCCATGTAAAAGTTATTGGAGGCAATCGCGCCCGACATCTATTGGTACAATCGTTGAACTAACGATTTTATTTACGTCAGATGGTAAAACTTATAAGTGACAATTCCGTCAAATTAATGGTCAATATATATTTTTTTAGTTATTAAGATTAACCCTAGAACGGTATCGTTTAATTTCTACCGCTTGTTGGTATCGATACGTAAAATTTTCGCATTCGCAAATTTTTACAAGTATACTTTGTAAAATTACCTGTTTCATTAGTTTTTTTATCTGAACATAAAATAGTGTTTTTAATATATTTTAATAACAAAACAATATTTTAAAATGAAAAATATACAGTAACTGAATTTAAAAATTAAGAGAACATTTTTTTCATTTGATTTTTTTGAAACACGTGCATATTTTTAATTGGTATTCCCCATATACTGTTTTGGTACATTTTATGCAGTACGTAGTTGCCATTCTTTACTTTTATGTAGGACAAAGGTGGCAATATTTCTCTGGTTCCTTTTTGATTTCCTTCCCCTTCGATATTTGTACTGGGTATAAAGGTTTCTTTAACATCTACTGCACTTACTGTACTTAGGTATCCTATTTGTTTACTTTTTGATTGCCATGGTTTAATAAGACTTTTGTGAAGTACTCAAAACGTGTGACTAAATTATGTATGAATTGATGCAAGCCATGTTTATCACATTGTAAAAGACACAAAGAGCCATTAGCACCGACAGTCGTTAAGAAATAAGCGAAGCCTAAAATTTTAAGCTTGGCAACACGTCAGATAAACGTACAACAAATTACTTCTTATTGGTATCAATGCGTATTTTTTACGTGTATACTTTTCAAAATCAAGCCACATCTTTTGCTAAATAGTTGCAACTTTGGCACTTACAAATCATCACAAGTGGATGTTTCCTGAGGCATAGCTGAAAGCTCAAAATCGTGACTCAGAAGAATTAGTGGAGAGGGCCCTTTCGCTACAAACCTCACGTAAATTTTACGTACGATACCGCTACAGGGTTAAATATAATTAAAAATTAGTGCTTCTTGTGAAGAATCAATAAATAATAGCATTCCACAAGATATTCGTCTATTTTTAAAAATAAACTGAGATTTTAATCAAACTAAAAGCAATCTGATTATCAGCGTTAAAAAGTAAAACTTTCTCGTAAGCCTCCATAACGAATATTTAGAGTACTCGTCTATGAATCAAAGGGTTCCGAGTTCAAACCCACGAGTAGACACTTTTTTTATTAATTAATTTTATTTTCTAAATTGGTAAAACTTAAATTAATTTCAAAACATTAATTTTACGTTAATGACATCTAAATCTTCATACTCAAATTTCGTCTTTTTGCTATGGCAATCATCAAATTATAATAGAATATTGTAAGGTCCGGTAATTTTATTTAAATCTTTTGACAATGAAATTAAAAATGTGCGTGTCTAAAGGAGAAATATACCGAAAATAACAAGTATTTAAATTTTGCTAATAAATTTGTATTAGGTATGTGTTAAAAGAAAATACATCATTTTGGATTTGAATATAGAGTGTGTCGCAAAATGTCTGCACCAAGAAAACACGAAATAAAATTTTTCTTTAATCTACGTAAAAAGTGCGAATTAAAATTTTTTTATTGAAAATTATTAGGTACCTAACAGGGTTATTCATTATAAATTACCCTCCCTTTATACCATAATTATTATTGTATAATGTTTACATTGACCGAATTTTGTAAAAATGTCATCAAATGACCATATCAGTGGCGTGCATATTTCACAGGATTTAACATGAATATTTTTTAATAGGGATAGCTTAGATATATATTTAATTCAATTTTCGGAATGATCTTTATTCTTTCCTGATTAATTAAAAGTCGAATATCTTATAAATATTTTCACTTTTTCTTCCTTTTGAAACATAATAGTTGTGATTTTCATAGCTTTTACTTTAATAATGTTAACTTTTTCATATTTACATTATCAACGTTAAATTACTCGAGAACAGACGCTATAAGATAGGGTTATCAATAATATACTTTTGTGAGATTAGAAAAAAAAATATATCCCAGAAATTTAATAACATAGAGGGTATCCCATTTAAAAAAGTTTATTTGTGTTGTTTTCCGTAAAATCTGAATACGTGTTTTTATGGTATATTTAGAAAAAGCCACAAACTTTTATTTAAAGCTTTTTTTGAATATGCAATAGTGGTTATAAAAGGTGTCTTTAATAATGAATAATTTTATACATGATCTCAAATAAATTTATAGAAATTAATTTCATTTGTAAAAATGTCACTTCTGCTTCTCCCGTATTGCTAAAAAAGAAAAAAAAATGTGTCCAGGTCTGGGATTTGATGGTGGTAAATATTAATTCTAAATATACATTTTTCAAGTAACATTGTCCTCCTGTTTTTAGAAATAAAGGTTACCGGTTAGCCAAATTCACACACAGTATGTTTATATAATATTAAAAACTTTCCCTACTAAATATTTTGGCTCAATCAAAGTAGATATCTTAAATTGATTATTGTTAGAAAAAGTAGAAATAATATTAAATATAATAAAGAAATTAAAAAAATAATTTAAAATTAGTTTAAGTTATATTATTTAAAGAAAAAATTTTTTAGCTTGGACTTAAATAAAACAGTAAATCACCACCTGAGAATAATCACTTCAATCTACCTATACCAAGAATTATTCATAAAAATTACTTATATTTTCCAAACCTAACCAACAGGATTATTAGAAATACCAACAAAAATAATCCGGTTGGGGTTCGGCTCTGGGGGCTAAGACATTTAGGGTCGAGATATTGAGACCAAACTTGGTATATGGATGTACTATCCCATAAAAATAAAAATTGTTTTAAAAAAATTCACTTCTCCCCACCCCTGTCTAATATGGTGGGAGTGGCATCCCCAAAAAAATCAAGTTAGAACTTTTTAACAAAACAGTTAAATTCTACGATTTTTTATATATACAAACGCAAAATTTCAATTTTTTATCAAATTTTTCAGAAAGTCCAAAAAAAATTTGGAAAAATTTTTTCAAAAAAAATTGTAATTTTGGGTTTATATGTATAAAAAAACGTAGATTTCAACTCTATTATTTAAAAAAGTTCTAACCTAATTTTTTATAGCTGCCACCCTCACCATATCAGATAGGGGTGGGGAGGGGTGAATTTTTTTAAAGCAATTTTTATTTTTATGGGATAATACATCCATATACCAAGTTTAGTTTCAATATTTCGATCCTAAATGCCCTATCCCCCAGAGCCGAACCCCAATCAATAATCCTTATAGAACCCACTGTGTTTACTTCAATATTAAGAATTCATTTATATTATTTACCAACCATCTTAAGGGTTTTTTAATTACATTGTTACGCACCAGATTAAAGAAACAACCTGTTGTTTATAATTACTTATGCTAAGTACTTAGGTAGGTATATACCTTACCTACCTACTAGAGGTGGGAAGTTCGAATCTTTTTACTAAATTAATTCATTTGATTCATTCACCTAAAAAGATTCGTTCTTCAAGATTCGTTCTCAAGTGATTCACTTTAGCGAACCACGAGGGATGTTATTCCGCCGATCCGGCGAAGGAAATCGAACCGAACTTTTACGAATTTGAGTACTACCTAACCTACCTACCTACTAGGTCGTCGGGTAAAATAATTATAACCAGATTTATTTTAAAGTAAAGCGAATTAATGTTTCATATTTCATAAAAAAAGGCAGCTGAATAATAAATACATCCTTGTCCGTTAAGATAAACAACAATTACACAATTTTTTTTTAAATGCCAAATATATAGCCAAATTAACGCAAAATTATATATTCACGATTCGTCATTTTTTGTTTTAATTTAACTTTGATTTAAATTTATTTATCAGACAATACGCATAAATTGTTTA